ATTTTTATTATTATCCTTGCACGGAGAAAAATAAACAGTAGGTAAATAAAAACCTGAAGTTTTTCATTCGCGCTTTTATCCAACGTAATTTTATTTCATTCGTTTCGCTTGCAAGGCGCATACAGCACGTAACATGATCGATTTCAATTTGTGTATCATGTATCCCCCGTAAATTCTCCATTACTTCCAAAGTTTACAACGAAACAGTTTCCCGATATTACTGCATCTAATATTATTCCGCCGGCGAGCGTATTTCTTAAAGGGCCCTTTTAGTGTTGTCGAACATGCGAAAGCTGCATTTGCAAAGGAAAGGGCGGTGAAATAAATTTTAAACGTAATTAAGATATGGCCGAACATTGTTCCTTTCTTAATTGATCTTCGGTTATTTGAATGCATGCAATTAACGATTTCTGTTATTGTTGCGTTGTTTTAATCGAATATAATGGATACTAAAGCTTTTCAGTTGAGTTTATTATCATAATCCAAAGGTAAATTCAACTTCGAACTATACAAAACTTTCGTAAACTGTTAGTTCCGTATTAAATTACAGTAAACTTGTATAGGTTCACTAATGTTAAAGTTACAATTTACAGTTAACCGGTAACTAATAAATATATCCTTTACCACCCTTTTTTGCATTAATATGTAAAATTCCTAACAGTACCCTAAATTTTCCGGGAGTCATAATGAGAGCTCGCTCGTCGAGTGTTTGCCGTTTCATCAAGCAAACACAAGACAAAAAACTGTAAAGAAGGAGCAGTGCTTTGGACAAACACAACAGGAGGACATTCAAGCCGAGTCAGGATTCCTCTCTAAATTCATGCGAAACACTTTTCACTGTATAGCGACAAAAAAATGTATACGGGTATTTACTAAACAACTCTTCTATCCCTTTGCCCAGCTTTTGTAAAATACCAGGTCCGTATTGAGGCGATTTTAGAAACCGGAAAAAAATCTACTTCTATCCGCGTATCGCATAGAAATTGGTTTCTTTTAAGCCTCGATTAATTAGTTAGTACCAGCAAAAGCTAGATCTATATCTGATCAACAAAAAATCTCATCGAATTTATTGGTATTGGAGCAGATTAGAAAGCCGACAACGCCGCGCCTCGAGCCCTCTGCGAGTTGTACTTCCGGATATCCTATCCTATACTCGGCCACGATCCAAGGTCCTACTGTATAACATATACAGATCGGAAAAATGGTATAGCGAACGAGCAAGAAGGAAGCAAAACGTGCACATAGCCCGAAGGCAACGAACCGTAACTAGACCAGTTTATGGTTAGAGTTCTTTTGCATGAACAATTTTGAAAGTACGAGTACAAGACGTTATATAGTTTTATATTTACTACGGTCATCAAACAGTAGGTTTATTATTAAATCTTATTCTTATACAACGAGGTTGTTGTTAATGGACTTTTTTTTTGGAGAAGTTGAAAAAAAAATGTATTATTTTTAAAGTTCCGCGATATAAGAGTATAGTGGGATCATGTGCATGTGTGGTATCTACATAACAATAAATCGAGGGATTTATCGCAGAATCGTTTGCGCTCCGGATTAAAACGGAAGAAAATCTCGTTTGTTTCGTACAAATCGACTGGCGCGCCAAATGAACTGGAAACGTTAAGGCGAAATTCAGTCGGAAACGGCGCCCGATAAACCGTAATTTAAACTTCGACGGTCCCGGACTCGCCGCGCGTCCTTACATAAAGCCTTCGCTCCGGTGCGTCCTTAAATAGGTCCGAGTCGCGGGAGTTCGGCCGAGCAATAAGAGACATTTCGCAGACTATCTGGAGCTATGAATCGAATAACATAAATCGACTCGCCTCCGGGCGACGATCCGGCCCCGTCGCCGTTGCAGTACGTTCTCGCCGCAAACCGGAGCGTGGATAAATAGAATCGAAAAATAAACGGAATAGATGAGCTAGTGGGATTGGAGAATTTGCGCGTACAGTTAGCCGAAGAGGAAGTCTTTCTTATACTTTATATACGCGAAATCCAGTCGGTGAAGATTTAATCTTTTTAAATCTTTTAAAATATATTCACTATTTACTCCGTCGTTTCATATAGCGAAATCTATTTTAGGCAGTTGTCGATTCTAATTTAATCAATCAAATGGATATTTATATTATTTACGAATGGAACGTAAAATGAATATACATCGGCTACTAATATTTGATCAACCAATCAGTTAATAGAAATAATGTTCAATTAGTCGCGTAACAATAAACCTAATTATTATTATTACATCAGTAGATATACCTGATTTCCATGTTATTTTTATTGAAACCTTGAATTTATAATAGCGAAATTATTTATAACAAATGTTAATGTTACTGTAATTTTTGTATCATGCTCTTGCTTAATTGCTGTGGCTATATACTAAAAATTCGAATAGGTACTAATTAAATACATTAAATTTCGATTAATTATACATAAATATATTAAACTAATGGTATACGAATCAAATGGTATATTTTACTTAAATAAAATTCTGTAAATGATATTTGATCCAATATTAAGAAATATCTTACCAAGAATTTTACTCTTTTCATCTTTTATAAAACATCTCAATTTTCAGCATCCGAACATTCTACAAAGTAGATCTACTTTATGCCATCGAAAACATAAATTTACTTAACTGAAAACTGAAATTTAAGACATCTTACGCGACATGAAAGTATCTCGGAAAGTAGATTACAGCTCGTGCCAATAAATTTATCATCTCGTATTAGATTTACTTCTTGAAATGCAGCCAAAGCTTGTAGAGCGATCATTGCTGCGTTTTTACATGTCCCGTGTATTTATTTTCGACGAACGGGGTTGATATTAAGTAATTTATTTCCTAATTAATTAATTTTACGAATCTCATCTCGACATCGAGAATCCTCATTTCTAGCAGATATAAAGTTTTGCGCTATCAGCGAAATAGCATGCTGTAAGTAATTTAATTAATCACAAGTAAATTACCGCAGGTTCGAGATTTATTACAAGTTCTATAATGATTCTATTGTAACGTAAAGTAAATCTGCTTTCATATTTTCCACTAATTATCAACTATTCGTTGATCAGCAACAAATACCGGATTAATTGAGTTTTCGTGTTTCATTTATATAACAATTTTCTTATAAAATAAATTATAGCGAAGTTGTGAAAAAAAATCACGAGGAAGCGTATCAAATTTTCTACCGAAACCTATTGGCATAGGGGAATTTTTCTCGCGGAGATTTCTTCAAATACGCTTGTTTAACTTTTCGCAGATAATCTTCAATTACGACGATGTATTTCTCGCAATTCGAGGCGACTCTTTGAACGGAACTTTCGGAAAGAGTTTCGCCGGATGCTTTGTAAATTTACCCGCGCGATGTTTAATGAAAGAAAAGCTTACAGCGAAATTTAAATACGGGGTCTAACTTTGCAGGGAGAAAGAGCCGGAGAGCTCGCGACTGTTTTCATAAGACCGGGAATCGTACCGTATCGACCGTGCCTATACTTTATTCCATATCAAACAGACGCGGCTTTCGTTGTAACACCAAGGGTGGTGGTTGTAAAGAGAAAGAATTCCGGAACGGTTTCGCGGCGAGTGGAGGTTTTATTATAGTTGGGGCGCCCGCTTTGACAGGTTTCTCTTATTTTGTCCGCAAAAAATAACCAAAAAAATCGTCTGTAATCCGTATTTATTGCTTTCGCGAAGTTTACAAGATTACATTTGGTTTTATAAGAAGATTTTAAATCAAAATATTTATGTTGTTTTATTATAAGTAATTTTAATTAAATCTAAACTTCCAACTCGCTTATTTTACCTATCTACGAGTACATTTTGTAAATTACCATTGAACCGATATTGTATTCATAACCAAATTAATTATATTATAATTAACTGAGGTTTGAATAATGTTTTTTTTTGTTACAGGTAAGCTAGCTCATTTGAAAAATACATTTTTTTATGTAAGTACAGAGCCCGCAAATATATCAATATGAAATAATTTAATTACATCTCTAATTTGCGTAATGGTTTTGATGGTTGTTGTTTTAATTAATTTGTAAACCATTGTAAAATGAAAGTATGTTCATTATTATTGCGCAGAGATTATGCAAGTCCAATCATTTTGTTTTTATTTGAAAAGTATATCATTTGTGCAATTGGATACAAAAATTGATGAAAATAGTCCCTATATAAAATGCCGCAATAAAATAGAGGTACTTGCAAAATCATTATAAAAAAGCAGCACCCTAGAAGTTTAACCCCCAATAAATCTGTTCTGTTGAAATTCAAACAGCCCTATACAGCACTAATTGAATATTTCTGAATTAATATCAATTAGTCTCCGTTATATGTACAATATGTTGATGCTAGCTACATATACTTGACAGGCTTTCATATAATACGTTTATGAACAATGTCTTGCAGGAAAATTGGATGTAATAGATCATGGTAGATTGCATTAAGACATACCAAATAGTGCAACAGTTAATTACAGTCGAGGTAAATTAATCGGTATTTAACTCATAAAATGAAGTTTCGATTGGATATTAATAATGGAAATTATCGTGAATACAGGGTGAGCCATCGTTATATCCTTGATATACAATAAAATAGGGTTAAAAATTTCAAAATTATCTCGGAGAAACCGAATGACTAGTTATAACGAGACAAACCGGTCGGAATAATTAATTAGTAAAATTTTAGAGAATGTTCGAACGTCAAATATAATTAGTCGAACCATTTATTATCCTGAAAGTATTGAAAAAAAGGATGGGCGTCATCGTTTGTTGACAAACCGATCAGCGAAATTAATAGCTCCGTTTATTTCTTTTAAATTGTTTTGCACATGTGCATTTGGTGACATCATTATTAATAACACTACAATCAATTTCACAAAAATATTCTATCCAATTAGGAATAAAATCTATTCAGGATAACTTCAAAGTTTCTTAACATTTAATAAAAGAATTAATACCTACATAAATACTACTTTATTATCAAATATTTAGCTGTACTAATCTCTATATCTTAATCTATACATCTCTTTATCAATTCTAAGTTAAATTTGGATGATATTAATGCAATAGACTTTTTATTACCAAAAGTAAAATCTTACAACTATCCTTATTTCCTTTTGATGTAAGCTTTGTAGTAAAAATCGGAGAACAAACAGAACATGAATGTATTCTGAGTTACGAATATATAGCCAAAGAACGGCATGGGGAAGGTCGGACATTTCGTTATTATCACGTAGGTGTAAATGACTATAAACATCATAAATTGAATCTAAAATAAAAAAAATGTATAGACAACATTTAACACGATTTCCAAATTAATTCAAATTGTAGAAGTGTAGTACGAATTTAAGTACGAATATGAGTTAATTGTAGTAAGGAACCAGTTAAAATATTTTTACGTACCAATTGCATCGTAGTTAAAGATTTCTTCATAAGTAAATTTTTCTTCCATTCGGGATCGATGCTAGTTAATAGATAGTATACGAACATAACAGCGTGTATGAAACAGTTAATTATTGCAACGTGTATTTGTGCATCGCCAGCTTGGTACTTGAAAGCTATCCATCCCAGCAAAACCATGCCGCAATGGTGGTAAACGTGGAGGAAGCTGATCTGGCGATAGCTCTTGCGAAGAACGAAAAATACCTAGAAACAGTTTGTAAATAAAAATAGGTTTTGCTGGATGCGGGAAATGCGTTACAGTTTCGACGCAGTCCAGACATTTCAATGCAAAGAATTCTTTTCTGACAGTATATATTGTTGACGCCATGTGTGGACTATTAGTGCATATTAAATCGGGAGAGGAACTTGCGACGAGATAAGACTGCAACAGTTAAAAATATGTCTTAAGCTTTATGACCTGCCTTGCATTTTTTTATAATAATATGTCAAGTTAACATTAAATGTTTAGTAAAGACAAAGAAAGTATATTCAATAATTGTTGTATGCACAATTAAATTAACATAAATTTAGGCTTACCTGGTACATTAATTTTATATTAATTATAATTTGTAGAATATTATACACTATCATATAATTTCTAATATTGAATGGTTTTTGGTTTTCCATCAATTTTGGACCAATCTTTTTCACTATTTGGTTGTAAGAAAATATAAAACCTATCAAAAAAATGGGTGATGTAACCCATCGGTCAGCGGTTACTGGATCTAAAATAATAATTAATTAAAAATTGAACAATTAAATTAAACAATTAATGGATGAAATATGTATTTAGTTACCTGTTATTTCGTCCATGATATAAAAGTATTTTTTATAGAACAATTTTAAAATTAAAGCCATGTCGAATGACTATATTTTTTACGTTGACCTAACCACCGAGAAATACAACGTACAACTGAGTGATAATACACTTTCCGTGGAAATCGAATAAAAAATAATATATTCCAAATGTTCGATTTGTTTACAGGATGTGCCAAAATTTTATGAAAAAAAATGCCTTTGAATTAATTTTATTCAGAAATTTTGTTTACTCATTTGTTTACTGTTATATTTGCATTCATTTGAATAGTGCACACTGATTTTGAGCGAAAATTTTGTTACATTGTAGTTAATTAAGACGGAAATTTTTTCCTAATCACCATTATTCAGTTCCTTTCGTTAGCCGAACTGTACAAATAAGTTCACAAGGTGAGGTCAGGCAAACACAATAGCGCTGACGATGCATCTTGATCCTTATGAGACAGAATGCACATTAGTTTAAATTATTCAAAATACTGACGCTTATAGGCAATGAGGTTTTGTTTTAGTGTTCATTGAAGTTCCACTGACTTTTCATTCATCAATTAAGTTATTTATTTATGAGTATAAAGTAGAAAAAATAGTTCCAAAATATAACCACTAAGGTACACTAATACTACTAATGGCATCGTCAGCTTTTCATTTTTATTTTATGCAGTTGCATTATAATATTGAATGTTAAAGTTTCTAGTAGAAATAACCGTACGAGTGACTTTTGCAACTAAATGTATGTGACAAAGCTGCACTGCACCACATTCTTATAATCGATTAAAAGCGGCTTTGTGACTAACTTCTAATAGGCCAGGAAATAGTAGCTTTTTAAATATCCGCTAAGTACTTTTGCAAAATAACGCGCTAAGTCGATTTATTTACCCTCTAGTGCGTTACGAATATTATTCTTGCTGTCACGAAGTTAATGTGTGCCGGAATATATGTTTGCATATTCCGAGACATTTTTAACCGTTTCGCTGGGTTTAAGTTGGGTGATGTTGAGTTATTTTCTTGTGTTACCCTTAATGGGTCTTTTGATTAAACTAATTTATTTCTTTTTCTCTGTGTCAATTTAAAAACTGTCTTTTCTTCTGCAGCGTCTTTTTATTGCATAATTTTCAGCTAGACTTCCGCTGCTAAGTATGAGGAAGTTTTTAGTATTTTATAACGGCTATTTATTGGAACAGAGCAATTTCTGTGTGTGCTTACTTTTGTAATAATTACCCGTGCCTTGATTATGGAGGAAGCCTCGATGCATCGGTATTAGTAATTTAAAATATCAAAAGATCATCATCCTATCCGCGGCAATTAAAAATTTTTGTAATTAACGGTTGGATGAATGTTCTAATTAATTTTAATTGATTAACGGCAGTTGGAAATGCTTTTTTCTGTGCCACAATTTCGAAGTGTAATTATCAGTAATGAATAAGTATTAAAAATTGACTCGATATTATTCCTATTTTCGGAATCGACTGGAAATTAAAATTAATTTTGTGCCCGCTTTATGATACTAATTATTATACAATGGCAAAGGCAGGGCAAAGAAAATCAGCATTTCGATATGAGCAAATTCTATCACGAACACAAACATAGTCGTTTATTTCATGAATCCATTTTAATAGATATTGAAATTAATGCATGACTAGTTCACTTCTAAATAGAGCTATATAAGATATCTTGGTTAATATAAATCGAGGTTTCATGCAAGTCGGTTAGAATGCAAATTCATTAAAATTTTTGAATTTGTTCTGCATCTTTACAGTTCCATCGTTGCTTATCTATCTGTACATTTCTCTCGGTTTAGTAGACTATAATTTTATAATTATTTAATAACCGTTTTAATTACTTCAAATGCGATAGATTCAACGTATGAGAAACTATGTAAGTACATAAAATAGCATACCGCAACGGATATTGCATTACAGTAGATAGGTAAGTAGTTATAAAAGAAAACGGGAGAAAGAATTTATTGTAACCTAATACAAGTTATGCTAAATATCCAAGGAACTATTTTTCATACGTTTTATGGTTCTGCAGAAACCATTGTACAATAACATATTGTAATTAATAGGATTTTCTTGGTACTGTGCAATATTTTTTCTACTGTTAATAGATTTGTATGTTTCAATAAAATAATTACTCCTCCACCATTAGAGGCTATTTCTGTTATTCCAATCAGTTAAATCAACTTGTTTATTTTCGTTGAAAAAATAATGGTTAATCCATTTTAAAATAAGCTAGTGCATAAAACACGGCAAATTGTTCGAAGGTAAAAAAATATCCGCGACTTTATCACGGTGTTGCAGCAAACAACAATAGTCGGAATTAACACAGCGGCACATAAACTTCTGAACGGAAGATTAAACTTTCGTTGCTTTAAGTAGATTTTAGACACACATGAGTCAACTTTGTTTTTTAACCAGAAATCATGAACTGGAGTTCCTGTCGACCGAACAGCGCTCGTTTTTAATCTGCGATTATTGTATATTTGCGACGGTGAGCCAGAACGGCGGGTCGTTTCATTATCTAACGTATCATTGTATGCAAGGAAAATAATCTCGAATTAAAAACGAAACTCGTATACTTTCACTTTTGCCGATGTTATGATTCCGTTCAGTGATACGATCAATACACAAATACAGGTGTTATCGAAGATGCTAGGTGTCGAAAATCAATGTCTTTGAAACGCTTTCTTACTTCTGTTTATTTGCAATTTTCGTACCTTCATCAATACTCAATTCACCATGTGTGTATTTAATTTAGTTTAACTATTGCACCACTCGCTAGAAGTAGAGATAGATTTTGATTGTCCCTCGTATCAGATATTATAGAATGCATGATGGTGTGGCGAATTCCGTGCTAGGCGTTGGCTCCTTCGACATTAGCCGGAGGGTTCGTTAAGGTTTTTTGGGATAGGCCGAATGTACGATCGTAGTGTGAATAAAAATGTTTGGCGATTTATTACGGGCGTAACGCCTAATCGCGTGCCCGTTCTTGATGCTTTTATCAACCTGGCCGGCTCTTCTGGAATTACGTAATTTATTTAGGTATACGCACACACACGATTAGGCGATCGAGATTTAATTCATTCGGCTGGCGATATCGGATTTTAAAATAGATTGTTGCGACAATGAAGAATTATTAATGATCTCAAATAATTAAAGTTTAATCATGATAAAATTAGTCCTATTGTGCTCGTGTGGAATATTAACTATTCGAAACGAAAATACCGTGATGTTTGTTAGTTAGGATCATTTGGTGTAAATTGGAAATCATGCATGTGTGAACTAAGGTGCAGTTTAATTGTAACACTATAACCTTTGGTTCCTATTAGGCGGATTCCCATTTCGTCGATTAAAACTTTTAATGGGTATAATTTTCCTATTATATCTTTAGAGGATCGAATGACCAATTCGATCGATAGCCTATACAGATTGTAACGTAAAATGTAATATCGCAAGAGCGATTAGCTAATTGTTTGTACGAGTACGTTTGATATTTTTTGCATCGCAAAAGTCGAAATTCACCACATGCGAACCTTTATTTGACCCAAATAGCCGTACCTACATCAGTTTTTATTAACTAATAGTGACTTGCAATCCATATATCTACATCAAACTGCGACAGAATTGGAATTCGGTATTAACAATGATGGATTTTTATTTGACATTTAGACACGAAGCATACGTTCATTTTATACTCAAAGTACACTTCGAATTTCACCTAAAACTAATCGACATTTTGCGGATTTAAAATAAATATCTCCGATAGCAAATCAATGGGTCTCCTTTCTTCATTAACTCGAATTCAACGTCTGTCCGTACGGCCGAGAAATCGGATTAGGAACTTTTCGGAATCGTTGTAGGCACTACATAGGTAAGGCAAGGTGTATGAAGTTTATGGAGGCATTCGGCGGATTGATCGATTTTAGTTGTCAGGGTAACGGCATCGGCATGGCACAGAAACGGCCGGCGTGCCATCGGCAGTGGAAATTCTCTTCCACTTACAAACCGTGCGCCAACTTGAATACCAAAACCACTTTTGCTATATTAGATTATTTACTACTGTTCTTAACCTATGTAAATCTAGTTTCCGTCTGGTCTAGTTCGAATGCTGGATTTATGAAGAAAATTCAATACTTCACTTTTTGATTGATTTTTAACTTTTGTCAATAACACTTTCGATGCAACTATTGTAGCTAAAAAATTTACTAATCCTTCTCTGGAATTTACTGATGAAATATGCTATTATCTTCGTCACATCGCATTTATGGTGCATCAATTTTTGATTAGATAAAGTTTATTAATTTCGACCGGCGTATGTGTTAGTAAAAACGATCAAACCCGTCCGCGTTAGAAGAGTTTGTTGTAGAGGTATACTAGAGAGGAAGTCGACGATGTGCTGAACTGGATTCACCGCTTGACCGGCCATGTGTACCAGCCATGAGGGTATTGTTTTGGAAGTTTGCGCTGCCTTTTTTCAACACGTCTATTTCATTGCGTTATGAATCAGAGAATATCGGCTGGTATCACTGGAAATCGCTCAGTATAACTCTTTGTTTTTTTAAGGAAAGTACACCAGTATGAATCGATCGGGATGCTGCAAATGTAGTTAATTTCGCTAAAAAAGCAACAATGTGCACAGTGAAGCAGACAGCGCCCCGAAGAAATTTAATGATCTATCGTAATAATTGATTTCACGGAAGCTCCCTCCATTGGCCGATAAAAAAGTTACCATTTTATGATAGAGTTTAAGTCAATATTTGTTTAATTGCAAAGGGAAAACGCATCGAAATTCTTGGTACTTGCCATTAGCAGGCAAAACTGGATTCGTTTTTTTCCCGCTGAATTCACGTTGCGAATCATTACGGGTATATACAGCTTCCCCTAAGACCCGCGGGCTAAAAATTGATGGAAATGTTCATTAAAACGTATAAATGAGGGGCGAAAGTTGCAAACATAAAATTTTTTGTCGACTAAAAACGACCAATAGGTACTATAACACGGGATCGTTTTTGATTCCATTAAAGTTCAATTGGTGTACGGTGTGTTGCTGCGGGGTTAATACCAACTTTAGTTCCATAAATTTAATTTT